AAGTGGAATTTGGGGGTTTTGAGTGATATGGAGATCATCTGTGTTTCTTTCAAATGGTCTGATTGATGCAGCAAAGGGAATGATTCAAATGGTCTGATTCATATTTCAATTTATGTTTTTTTTTTCTGATTTACCACTTCATTTATGTGGACAGTGCAGGATCTTGACAATGTTGAATTCTGAAAAGGTATCAAGTATGTTTATGTAGATGATTCAATGGATGATATTGGTGAGATTCCAATTCTATTGGAATGGAATCACGTATTCCAATTCTGTTGGAATGGAATCACGAATTCCAATTCTGTTGGAGTCACAGAAGTTGATGCTTGAAGAACGGAACACAAAATTGAAACGTACCACATTATTCTTTTAGAATGTATTAGTCGTTGATAGATTTGATGTTTTCTTTCCCGTTTTGAAAGTTTTTTAGTTTTATTCTTTAACAATAAATGTAATTCTTAACAATTGTTACCTGTATTCTATAATAAATAATGTATTTTTTGTTTTTATTCTTCAATTAATTGTTCAAGAATTTGTTATTGTACAAGAAGTTCTTAAAGTCATGATCAAGAAATAGGTTCAAGAATATTTTTATTATTTATTTTTCAAGAATATTTTTATTTTTTGAGTAAATAATTAAATAAATAAACATATTCTGTCAGAATGTCCGAATTAAAATAGTTATAATTCGTAAAATCGGATTTTTAAAATTAATAGAATCTATTATCCCTTAAAATATGCAATTTTCCTTTATTAAATCTATATTAATTGACTAAAATACCCTTGTAATTAAATTAGATGATATTTTTCAATTACATTTAATTCAATAATATATATTAATCACTTTCTTAAAATAAGTAAAATTGATTGGCCCACAGTTATGCATACAATAACACAATAATTACTTTGAATAGAATAACCTAGGCCTATATATATATATATATATATATATATATATATATATATATATATATATATATATATATATATATATATATATCCCCTATCCTAATAAATAAGTAGAATTTGGCCACGTGTCACTCTCCCAGCCCCCCCCCCCCCCCTAAATCGTGTTTTCCCGCTTCTTTTCTTCATCTACATTTACGTATCTGCCCCCCGAAAAAATCTGCACCGATCAAATCAAATCAAATACATTCAAGAAACGGAAATATAGATGAAAGATTTCCAAATAATAATTGAAAATAATATGCAGAAATCATAAATTCAAATTTCAAAATCATTCATATCCAATCCAATAATATATGGAAGTTTGTTTATTCTAATTGGAAGCTAATTAATTTCCAGTCATTAAATCCCAAAAAATATGCAGCAAATAAATGCATACCGAAATATATACCACTATACCATCTTTACGCTTCTATTTTGTTCACGATTCTGCTTTAGAGAACTCATTACAAATGGTATGCTTCTTCAGTTATTCTTTACTGTATCTTCTCAGTTTTATTTCTTTTAACATAATTTATTCAATAAATCAAGTTGCTAACATAAGTTCTTCAATCCTTCCTGTCTGTAGCAGTTATAATTTCCTTGATTTTGTGATGGTTTACTGCATATTCATCCTCCACAACAGGAACAACTACACAAGGTTAGCAATCTAAAAGCCTTTTCGGTGTTTCTTTTACAAGACAATCTGAATTCATGCATTTGTACAAATTCGATAACTGCATATATTTTTCATAGTTTTCATGTTTACGTACTTAATTCTTCCTCTTTAACAACTATACAGTGTTAGTATTCTATTCTTTCCTTTTTAAAAAAATATCAATTTATTGTTTTTAAGGTTGATTCTAATTAAAATCTACGTACGGACCAATTTAGTATGTATTATTTTTTACTGTTTACGTTTTTTACATTTGACAATCAATTAGTAGACCAAAATGACCAATTATGTTGAAACTATTCCCATAGGGACAATTGATTCACGTTTACAGTTCAAACACTAATATTCTTTTAAATCCTGTTTAGTTTTTACTTTACAAAAATGCCAATATTTATTTACAAAATTTTTTATACTAATCAATAATGTAACACTGTAACTTTTCCATAAAACTGCTATGTTTGAAGAAATTTTCAAACACTTTTTTTTTGTTATCTTATTTGCTATATTTCTACTAAATAGGAACCATTTTAGTATATATTTGTATATATTTGATAATTGCATATATTACTTTACAAAAATGCAAATATTTTTTTACAAAAATTTGTATAGGGATAAATAATGTAAGACTATTAATTAAGATATGATATAATTGTGCTACATAGAAATCATTTTAGTATGTATTATTTTAACTATTTAAGTTTTTTCGTTTGATAATGTTGTATTACAATAAAATGACCAATTATCTAAAAACATTTGATCCAGGGACCATTTCTGTAACTTTTCCAAAAAACTGCTATGTGTAAAGAAATTTTCAAACACTGTTTTTCTGGTGCATATATCTTATTTTCTATATTTGTACTAAATAGCAACCATTTTAGTATGTATTTGTACAATTTCGATAACTGCATATATTACTTTACAAAAATGCTATTTGCTTACATTTCTATACGCTTTCAATCATTTTGCAGGAAATGAATATAGGGAATAAAGTTTACCTAAAAAACATTGAACAAATTGATGATAATTCACATATCAAGATACGGGTGCTGAAAATGTGGAACTTTACCAAGAATAATACGGTTTGTTCAATTGAAATGATCCTGATGGACGAGGAGGTTTGTTGTATTTCTTATATTTTTTGTAGCCCATTCAATATTACATATGTTGCAACAAACAAATAATTATTATTTATTTGATTTAACAAGGTACAAAATACCATTCTCGTGTCTTCAATCAGAATTTCTCTAGATTTGGTCATCTATTAAAGGAAGATGAAACTTATATAATTCTAAAACCCTATATGGCGGCTGTTATTAATGGTTTTAGTTATACAGGTCATAAGCAAACTATAACTTTGGATTGGAAAAGTATCCTAAAAAAATGTGAGGATTTCTCAGGTCCGGTGAATGGATTTATGTTTGTTGATTTTAATTATATCATAGAACAAACATGCCCAAGAGACGCATTCTTTGGTTAATTATTAAATTTTATTCCAATTACTTTTATCACTTGTGTTCTTTATTATACATTTTATTATTTTAATGTTTTAATAATAATGCAATAGTATAATTTGTGTTATACTTGTGTAGATGTTATTGGACAGATTGTCTCATTTCGACCGCTTGAAACATCCAATCCTGTAGCATCCATTTATTATATCAAACTCACACTTAGCAACCTAGAGTGAGCTTATATTTTTTTTATTTCTTTATTATCTTTAATTAAATCACAATTTAATAGTATTAACTAATTTCTTTGTTTATTTAGGTCTGTACATCTTAAGGTTACTATCTTTGGAACTCAAGCATACCGTATGTCACAATACCTAAAAGATAACCCCACGGTTAATTGTGTTGTTATAGTGATGCAGTTTGTAAAGCTTAACATTTGGGATGGTTTGTATTCACACTTTATATATATATATATATATATATATATATATATATATATATATATATATATTTGTTTTTGTATAATTGTTATTGATTTGTTATTTTATTTTTACAGGAGTTGGTCAAGCTAAATCTCTTTCTCTCCTCCCTCTTTAAAATTACAATCTATTGCCTTCACCAAAAATTGATCAACATCAAATTCGCCATTCATTTGCTCATGTTGACTTTTCTTTCTTCCCAATACATGCTGAATAATTTGTCCATCAGTCTTTTCATAATTCTCAATTAAATTGTCCATCATGTCTTCCTCAAAAAAATCTTTGGGAACAAAAACAAAATCAAATAATATGTTTTTCCATTCATTCAAATTTTCATCATTTGGATATTTCATAAGAGTCTCCTTAAGTTCATCAGCATTTTACTCTTTTTCACAGTAATTGTTTCAAACACATCTCCCAAAGTTGATAAATAATCTTGCATATGAAAAATTTCATACAATATATTAATATAAAAATTAATATATTGAAATAATTTATATTTGATTCACATATGAATAATATGTGATTAAGATGTAAATCAAATGTAAACCTAGTTATGATTTACATGTAAAATATATTTCTATATAACATGTGATTCAACTCTAATAAAGAATTTACATCATAATCACATATTTTAGTCAGATGTGAATTAGATATGAATTAAATGTGGATAATATATAAATAACATGTGAATATATAAATTACATACAAAACACAAGTTAATTATATTTTATTCATATGTGAATAACATATGATTCTCATCCTAATCAGATTTGAATCACAAATGAATAACGATGCCATACATCTGAATCACAAGTTATAATTCTGACAACCTCAGATGCCAAAACACAAGTTAAAATAAGTTATATTTTAAATTTTTCTTAATTTAATCAGATGTGATTATAACTATAATGATTTATAATTAAAATGTTTTTTTAACTAAATTTAAGAATAATTAATCATAAATGTATAATAATAAGATTTTTACCTAAACTTTTTTATCCTTTGTATTTTCCAGTCTTTGAAGAACCTTTCCGGTTCCAAACATACCAACTTCAATCTCACGCTTTTCTCTCTGACTCAAATTTGTGAGAATTCCAGCTTTTTATTGTTGGCCATAGACGAGCACCATTTTTCCCATCAAAATCAACATGGTCAACATACAACAACTGCATACAGAAAAATTAATTTAAATTATTTACATAGTAAGTAAAAATTATTTAATATTTTTTACATCATATACATTGTTGATAACAAATATTACCAGCAAGTATGTGACTGGTCCACTGAAATAGCTTTTGTCATTAGACACTGAATATGATCTCTTCTTTGTTATCAATGATTCAATCATATAAGAATACCAATTGATCTTCGAAAAATCTGTATCACTTGATATTTTTTTCAATATCTTATCATTTATTTTCCCCATTCCTGTAGCTTCAACCAATGTGTTACAAAACAACACAATGAAATTCAATTTGAAATTGAAATCGGCTTCTTTTGTTGAAAGAATTGCATTCATGATATCTTTCAATCTAATGTTGTTTTTATCAGCAAATTGCTTTATCCACTTATTATAACATTGATCATCTTTAGGTCGAAATGGAAGTTGATCCACTTCTTTTTCACCAACTGGAATTCCTAACATCTCATTTACACTTTGACTGTCTACCTTAATTTCACATTCATAACTTTTAGTATCATCTTTTCATAATCAAAGTTATGAACAACATAATAGCTAAGTCTTGAAGGTAAATCGTCAATTTCCAACTTCAATAAACTTTTAAATCCACGTTCTTTCACATATTTCTTCTGCTCCAAACTAACCCTCTTAATAATCTTAAACATTGAACTTGGTGATGCTCTGATACGTAATGTAGAGAAATTCATTTTGTTATTATTCAAAAGTATCAAAGAAGAAGATATTTTCTTTATTTTCTTTAATTTCAATTGACTTTGCTCTTCTTCGCACTTGTGTTTTGATTCATCTAGATCAACTCTTTTTCTTTTCTCCATCTTCATTTTCTTGAAAAATATTTTCCTAAAAAAATAATTAAAAAAGAATATGAAATGAGTTACTTAACTGTATTTAATTATATTTGATTCACATGTGAATAACAATGTCATTTACATCTGAATCACATGTGATTCTTATCTGAATTATATACTGAATAATATGTGAATTAGAAAAGAATATGAAATGCGTTACTTCTCCATAGTTATGTTTGATTAACATATGAATAATATGTGATTAAGATGTAAATCATATGTAAACCAAGTTATGATTTACATGTAAAGAAGATTTCTAAATAACATGTCACACAAATCTAAGAAAGAATTTACATCTTAATAACATATTTTAGTCAGATGTGAATTAGATATGAATTGAATGTGGATAATATATAAATAACATGTGAATATATAAATTACATACAAAACACAAGTTAATTATATTTCATTCACATGTGAATAAAATATGATTCTAATGCAAATCAGAAATGAATAACATATGAATAAGGATGTCAATTACATCTGAATCACATTTGATTCTTATCTGAATTATATACTGAATAGTATGTGAATTACAAAAGAATATCAAATTAGTTACTTCTCCCGAGTTATGTTTGATTGACATATGAATAATATGAGATTAATATGTATATCAGATGTAAACCTAGTTATGATTTAGATGTAAAATATATTTCTAAATAACATGTGACTCAAATCTAATAAATTATTTAATGACGTGAAAATCACAGGTTACCATTAACTAGACATTATTATGTATATTCATTTGCGAGTATTTACGCTTACTTGTGATTATGTATATTCGTTTGTTAATAAAATATGAAACAGATTATTTACATTTTAATCATGTCTTATTCAAAACCCTAAAATCAAAAACAATACGCATTTGGGATAAAATAAACAGAACAACTTAGGGCTTATGATTTTCATCGGTGATTCAAAAATAAACTTATTAAAATACAAATAAAGAATTTATTACCGATTTTAAGACTGATGAAATGTGCTTTTCTTTCGCAAATGTTGACTTCGGTTAACAAGAAGAATGAAAGCACACCTTGTTTACGGTTTACAAGAAGAATGAACAGAATCCGAGAAATGAGGATCAATATGAATAAATATAAACCCTGACATATAAAGAATGAAATTTAAATGGAAAATATCAATTTTTTAGGATTTAATAAACCAATTTTTTTCGTGACTTGTAAAGAATAAGACAAAATTATTATTTTAATATAACTGTATAATATTTATTTTTAATTTTTAATTTTTCTATATAATAAATTATTTTTTCAGAGTTTATTTTATTAAATTATGATTATTAAAATAATTTGTAATTTTAAATTAAAATATTCTTAATGATATTTTAGTTATAAAAATATTTATGAATATAAAAAATTTCTTTATTATATCTCTTATTAAGATGTTTTTTTAAACATTATATAAAACACATTTCTTTCATATATATTATACAATATACCAAATTTATAGAACTCATATAAAAATTTCTTTCACATATTCCGTCATATGTATATAAGTAAAAAATTAGATTATTATAAAATTTAATTATATTATTCCTATATTTTTGTTTCATATTAAAATTCCTCCAATAATTCAATTGCTTCCACAAACAAAACATCGCCTAATTCAACCAATATTAAAATCAAATTCTACAACGCTACATAGCAAAAATCATTGAAGAACAACCACCCGGAATAAACCTCCTCTTCGACGCAAAGGTCACCCAGAAGAAATCACAGGTTCTTCTATTTTCATCAATATTTAGAAATCCTTATATTGTTCTTGTTATTAATGTTCATTAAATCTAAATAGATTTTTTCGTTTATCTATAACTTGTGTTGCAGTTTTCATCTACATAATCATCGACATATATACAAAACTAGAAAAGTCTGGAAACCCTAGAAATCATGCGAAATGGAATTTTCAACATCTTCAGATGATGATTTCAACGAAAAAATAGCTACTATTACAAATACAAAAGGTATTTAAATTATTATCTTTGATTAGCATCTGATTCATATATAATAATTAAATTATTATATATGATTAACATCATAATAACTTGCGATTTAATGTGAAATAATTTACAATAAGAAGTTAGTCAGTTTTTGTTAATTATATTTTATTCACACCTGAATAACATGCTATTAAGGTGTAAATCACAGATGAGCTAGTTTCGTTAATTACATTTGATTCTAATGTGAACAAAATTTTAATCGAAAATGTAAATCACATGTGAATAACATTATAATAAAAACTAAATTACATATGAATTATATGTTATTTACATATGATTCCGATTTGATTGAAATCTAAATCAAAAAATGAATTATATGTTATTTACATATGAAGTACATATTTATGTTTAAATATAAATCAGCATGTTAAACTTTTAATTATTTTATCTTATAGATAAAGGAAAAAAGAAGAAAGCTATTGAAGATTCAACAAAAAAGAAAGACCAAGACAGAGTGAAAGTAATAAAAATTGGTGGAACATCTGGAGAAGGATCGAATTTAGAAAAACAAAATAAACCAGAGAAATGTTCTACTTCAAAATGCAAAAAATTGAAAAGAACAAAAAAAGAAGAACAAAAAAGTAAACAAAATAGATGAAAGTTCAAGAAAAAGAAAAAAATCAGTTGAAATTCTTGTTTCAAAAAGAGAAGATGAGGATTGTTGTCATGTTATAAAGAGAAAGAAGAAGAAAATTCTGTTAGATAAAAATCTTTATGGAATGAAAAATAGATGTTCAACATAATCTTTATGTTCAGTTATTCAAGGTTTAAGCAAAGAACAACAAGATTGTGTGAAGTCTATGGGTTTTGGCAGTTTACTTAAAATGAAAATATCAGATGTACCATCAAGAATATCATTATATATGGTGAATAACTTTGATAGAACACAAATGGTTATAAAAGTGGAGAAAGGAGAGATTATGGTAACAAGAGAATCAGTTAATGAAATGCTGGGAATTCCAATGAATGGAAAAAGAATTGAAGAAATTGGTTATAGAGATCGTTCAAATACATGGTATAATAGTTGGGCTATACAATTTGATGATGTTTTAAATTTAAGAATGACACGACTACGAAATTCAATTGTGTCTACATGATTAGCTAATATGAATTTCATAGTTCTGTTTGTGAATACTCTTTGTGAATCAAGTTTAAGTGGTGTATGTAACATTAACATATTAAAGCACATATCAAGTGGAACTGATATCAAAAGTATTGATTGGTGCTCATATGTTTTGGACTGCCTCATCAACACGAGTAGTTCATTTGAACCTTACAATGATAAAAAACTCTTTTTCAGACCTTCTGCATATCTCGTGGTAAATTAAAATTCTATATTATACTTTAAATACAATATTTTATTATTTATTTATTAATAAATTATTGATTTTACTAATTTCTATATATGCAGTTGTTGTATCTTGACAGTATTGATTCTGATGAATTAAAGGTTGAGCGGACAAGACCAGTCATTTGTTATTGGAGCTCAGAAAAGATAAAATATCGTGAAAATCTGGAAATGACTATTGGAAGATTTGGTTTTGGAGATATAAATCCTCCTTTTATAACAGAAGATTGTAAACGAATTTTTGTTGATTTTGGAAGTGATTTTGAATATAATGAAGAATCAATTGATGTAATCTCAAGGTAAAAATTTATTTATTTAACTTATGCTCATCTGATAAAATATTTTTGTTACTATAATATAAATTACATTTGTTGAAGGATTATGAAATAGAAATATTGAAGCTTCTAGATCGTGGAAGTTATTGTAAGAGAAAGTTGATTTATTAGTTGATAAAGCAATATCAAAGTTTCCTGGCATACAAAGTATACAAGAATTAAAAAGTAGAGTGGAAGAATTGTTGGGACTGAGTGTTTCCACTATGAATGTCAATAATAAGAATGAAATTTCATAAACATATAAAGTTGATGATGCTTTGTTTAAAAAAGAAGTTGGTGACCTTATTCATTATAAAGTTGTTAAAGAAGAAACAACTCATGCTGAAAAAAAAACATAATTTTGAAAAATCATTTTCAATGATTGAAGAAGGATCTTCATCAAAAGTTGAAGAAGGTCAGCAACAATCTGTGGTTTACTTGTGATTTACATTTGAATAAAATAAGATTCATCTGTCATTAAATGTGAATTTAATATGATAAACAATTAAAGTGGGATTTACATGTGAATCTAATGTAATTCATATGTGATTTACATGTGAATCTCATGTAATTAATATGTGGTTTACAAGTGAATTACATGTAAATTACTCGTGAATCACATGTCATTCGTATATAAATTGCATGTGATTTACATGTTAATCACATGTAATTTATATGTGAATTACATGTGAATCACATGTAATTCATATGTGATTTACATGTAAATCACATGTAATTCATATGTGAATTACCCATAATTCATATGTGATTTACGTGTGAATCACATGTAATTTATATGTAAATTACAAGTGAATCACATGTAAATTACTCGTGAATCATATGTCATTCGTATATAAATTGCATCTAATTTACATGTTAATCACATGTAATTTATATGTAAATTACATGTGAATTACCTGTAATTCATATGAGAATTACTTGTGATTTACATGTGAATCACATGTAGTTCATATGTGAATTACATATGATTTACATGTGAATCAAATTGGATTCATGTGATTAAAATATGAATTTAATCTGATGAACAATATAATTTTATATAACTACTTTTGGAATAATATATTCTTTTACAGATGTATCTGATTCTCAATTTTGGGACAATAAAGAAATTCAACAAGCTCTTCAAAGAGGTATTAAAATTCAAACAGAGAATTTTAAAAAAGATATGTCCAACACAAAATGTGATTATTTTGATAATGATGAAGACTTTTGGAACAATCCAGAACTTTACAAAATGGCTGATTATTCAGTTGAAGCATTCGAATCTAAAAAGAAATTTCAGAATAGTCCTGTGTTATACTCTGATATTGAGAATACTAAAAGTTCAAAAGATAGATTCCTGGAAGAAAGTTTAAGCAAAAAAACATATTGTTCAACAAGAAATTAGCGGAATGCCAAGTTTTAGACTAGGTGTTAGTCAGGAAGATATATCTGATGAACAAAATGTTAAATCTGAAATAAAACAAACAATCAGTTTCAAGCTTCCCGTTGTTCCAAAATTGAAGATAGAAGAAATGGAGAATCACATCAACCATTCTTCAAGATCACCATACAGGTTGATAGAGGTTGAAACACATAAAGGAGTTACATCTGATGAAAATATTATGTGTGATGGTTGTTTAGCTGAAAAGGAGAACCAATGTAAGTAAATTTCTATTTATTAATTTCTAGATAATTTTTAATAGTGATGTTCTTTATAATTTCTATATATTTATTATTGTAGTGATGAAGTTATAAAACCAAAAAGAAGTGATACTACAATTAGAGTAGCAATGGAGAGCTTACTTCCATCATTTGAAATAACTGCAGCTGTTCTTGATTGTTGGTCTGATCATGTTAATTATGATGAAAATGCTCGGCATGCTAATTCACCATCAAGAGTTTTTGTAAAGTGGCTAGTAATGTAAGTTAACAAAAAATTATGGTGTAAAATTTATCATAAAATTGAATAAAATTATTTCAATATTCACATATGATTGTAAAATTTGTATTTTTAATAACATGTGAATATATTAAAATAATATTTCTGAAATAAATATTATTACTGCAGTCAAATATTAATTATATATAATATTAACTAATCATTTTTTTCTTAGTCTTCATACTTGGAGCTATATTCATACACTGATGAAAGTATATACACATTATTCAAAACACATATGCATGATAGTCTTGGTGAGGATGAAGATAGAAGACTATTGAAGAAAGTTGATTATGTAAGATATTTAAAGTAATGAATTCTTAAATTTTCTTATACATAAAAAATAAAAACCAATTTATATAATTTAAGGTTTTCTTCCCTGTTATACGAAAGGAGAATACTTTTTTAGTTGTATTCAATCTAAATTCAACTATTTACGAGATTATTGATAATGTTTATGGAACTATGCATGAAGTCGTTTGTGATAATCTTGTAGAAAATCTTGTAAGTGTAATTTAAATAAAAGTTTTGTCATTCTAATAAATCATTTTCTCATATTATATATTATATATTTATTACTTTTTTCTTGCAGAAAAAATGTTTACAATGTTTTTGAAGAATATTCAACACTCATCTGTTACAAAATGTATTTCTAAATGTATGAAACTACATATAACTGATTTTCCATGGAAGACAGTAAAAGAAACTAATGATAAATGAATTTTTGCAATGCGTCATATGGAAACTTACAAAGGAAAATTATTAAGGAAGTGAAACATTGGTTTGTTAGAAGAAGGTCCTAAGCAAAAGACTGTACTTAATAAGCTTAGATATAAATATGTTGCAAAGATGCTGTTGTCGGATTTGAACATACACCGTGACAAAATTATTCATCTTGCAAATGAATACCAAAAAATATCCGATATTGAAAGAAAAGAAGATATTAGGAATGCAGTCTCAATTCTTAATGAAAGATTGAAAAATATTTATTAATATATGTATTCAAAAAATAATTTGATACTTTCTTTGAAAGACTGAAAAATATTTATTAGTTTTAATGTACTTTGAACTTTATATTCATTTGAGATTTTAAAACTAGTATTATTATTGGTTTTTATTAAAAGTTATTAGATTTCATGTAGTTTGCAATTTGTATTCATCCTATTCATGTATCTACAATTTTATGAATTAATTGTGATTCACATTTGAATGAACATATATCCCAACATGAATGAGTGTAACAGATTTCTGATTCATATTCACATATAAAAACTAAATTATTTTGATTTATATAACTCATTTGTGTTTCTAAATTAAAATATAACTCATTCATATGTTGATCACATCTGATTCTCCTCTAAATATAATTAATTCTGATTAATATGTTATTCACATGTGATTCAAAAAATGATTAATATGTCAGTTGCACTAAATTTAACTCAGTTGCACTAAATTTAACTGGATAATTTTAGGTTATCCGTATTGTTAAGTTCATCTGTGTTGATTTTTGATGGCTGAAAATTGAGTAAGCTTATATAAATTCAAGAAAAAAAAATTGACCAAATATTCTAAGTGTTGAGTACTAATAATAATTTCGATATCCTATATAGTTTTGCAATGACTGGTTTTATAATTCGTTATTAAAAATATAACTCATTTACATATAATTTATATGTGAAAATGTGATTTATATGTTATATGTGAATCACTTGTAATTTATATGTTATATGTGAATTACATGTAAATCATATGTGATTCACATGTAATTAACATATGATTTACATGTGAATCACATTTAATTATATGAGAATTACACATTTTTAAACAATAAATCATTTATATATACATGTGACTAAACCAAGTGTATATTAAGATGTATTTTATATATTATATATTCATATGAATGATATGTGATTAATATCTATTTTATATATTATATATTTATTATTTTTTTGTTGAAAAAAAAATGTTTTCAATGTTTTTGAAGGATATTCAACACTTATGTTTAACAAAAAATAATTTTGAATGTTTACATATAATTGATTTGCCATGGAAGACAATAAAAGCCACTAATAATAAAGAATTTTATAATATATAATATTAAATATATAAAAAATTTAAATACAAAATAAACTAAAATAATTTTGAATGTTTACATAAAACTGATTTGTCATGGAAGACAGTAAAAGCAATAAATGATAAAGAATTTTAGAATATATAATATTAAATAGATAAAAATTTAAATAGAAAATAAATTAAAATAAAGTAACCATAACACCTATTTTCGTAAAAACAATTTGACTTCAGTTAGAAAACTTAACTATGGTAAAGGACGGATCTAAAATTTATATACACTTCATTACTAGAAATTTAATTTAATTTCACATCCGAATTCATCTACCATTTCACAAAGACGATAATCGCAGACGATCATAATTAAAGCTTCAACCGTGTATTTCAAATCAAAGTGATAAAAAAACATGGAAGTCGAAGGTATTTCATTCTAACGATACTTTTACTGCGTTTTGTTTATACATTTTATAGATTCGTTCGTGAATCATAAGAGTAAAAACTAGATATTTTAAAACAAGTTTGAAGATTAGATTCGAATTTTTATTATAAATACAAACACTAACATGTTGGTAAACTATATTAAACTAAACTTCGATTAAATAAAAATCTAAAACCCAAATTTTTATAAAAGAATTTCGGGTTTACTTGGCTGGTTGGCAATTTTGTGACCTGTTCTAGTAGATAAAATATCAATTGTTTTGTTTCAGTTTACTATTTTATGAATTTACTAGTATTAGAGTAATTTACATGTTTCGTTTCTACAATCTAGGTTTCATACAACCCTTGGTGCAACTATTGTGTTTTCGTTTCATTTCATTTCAGTGCAACTATTATGTTTTTGTTTAAGTCCCAATTTAATAGCATACATAGCATCAACAATCTATCATTTGTCACTATTGAAGTTAACTATAGTCGTGTTGATATGATATGTAGTATGTTATTCAAATTAACTATATTAAAACATTCACATATTT